TTTTTTATTTTTAGTGAATATTTTTAAATTTTAAGCAAATTTTTTTTTTACTTTTTTAATGCATCTCCAACGGTACATTACTTTTTTCACCAAATTTGAATAAAAAATAGCTGATTTTCTCAATCTGATATGACTTGCTCCAACAATGCATCAAAAGAGAAGGGTCATCCGGTGGGTCGACCGGTAAGACTTATGTATTTTTATTTTTTTAACCTGTTTGAACCTTTTGACTTGTTTGAACCTACCTATTTGAAAAGGAACCGGTCGACCGGATGGTTGACCGGTTGGTCTCCCCCAATGGTAAAGCACAGTAAAATAGTGAAATTTTGAGCCTGTTCTCACTTTGATGAATTTTTTGTTTCATTCTCATTTTGATACCAATTTGCTGAAATCATTAGAGCTCTAAAAAGTGATTTTTTCACAAAATTTTAAATCTGATGCAAGGTTTGATGAATCGTTAGAGATGGCCTTAACTAATAAAATGAGTAAATGGTAGTCTCATCAATTATATACTGAAATCTAATTTATAGCTCAAAATTTTAGAAAATAATGAAAATGGCTTGCTAGGTTTATTAATTTTCTTTTTTATGAAAATATTATTTTCACCGCACTTAGGTAACAAATTGTATTCGATTTGTCATGTACCAATTTTTTATTTTTTTTTATTTTTTATTTTACACACACTCAGCCTCCTAATTAAAATTTTTGGTTTCGCCCGGATGTGAAGTGTAGTGAAGTGATAATAGCATATAAAAGCAGCTAGCAAGGGTGTGTTTGATTGGACGGACTGGAAAAGGGGGGATTAGAATCCATCGGACTTGAGTCCTGGGACTGTGAATCCCCCGGACTATTTGGTCGGATTGGATATGTATCCTGTGTTTGTTTTTTCATGGGATTAGATGTCTGGATAGGACTATTTTCAGTGAATCCAACGTTTGGTTGGACGGACTGGATAGGATAAATGAACAAAAGATTATTTTACCCTTTTTCAATTGTTTACTATGTAATAGCAATATTAAACATATCTTTAATATTTTAATTATTTTTAGTAAACATTAAATATACTAATGGTTAAATTTTGTTTAAAGATATTTAAACATACTAATATTGATAAATTTTTTTGACTGGTATAGATTATTTTTATTTAAACAAATAAAAATTTATTGTTGAAATTAAACATTTAATTGTTTAAATAAAACATCTATTAAAACATCTATTAAATTTAAATAATGAAATTAAATAAAATATAAACAAAATTTTAAAATAAAACATCAATAAAATATCTATAAAAAATTATTTTAAAAAATTAAATAAATAAAACATTAATAAAAAGTTAAATAAAATTATTTTATTTTTAAATTGAGACATTTAAATTTTATTAAATTTTATTAAATATAATACATAATTAAATAGTAGAGGGTCAAAATTGTCAGTTTCGCATCTAATCCAAACAGTGATTAGTCCCCCCAAAACAATCCCACCCCCTCCCCCAGGACAGGATAGTCCCCCATATGGGGGACATGGAGTTATGGCGGACATGGAGTCCGCCAGACTAAAAAAAAATCAAACGACAAATAAGGAACACTATTTGAATTGTAATCTAAATAGTGGATAGTCTCCCCTCCAATCCCACGAATCAAACACGCCCATAGAGTTTGGACTTTAGAAATACAAGATGGACCAATCCAAACCCAGTCTATTCTATTGGCTAGTCAAAATTCATAGACTAAAAATTTATTTGAAAATTGGGTTTTTATTATTATTTTTAACTAAAAAATATGTAAAAAGTAAGAAAAATAATTTGGGCAACTGATAATGACCTTTTAAACAAAAAATATTTGGTTCCCGAGTTGTCATGGTTTGCATATAACTCACAATAACACCCACCAATTTCTCTCACAAACCAAAATAAAACAAGCAAGCAAGAAATGGAAAAAACCTCACCAATACTTCTTCTCCTTCTTGTTTCTTCACTTTCATTGGCATCCTCAAACTCACTCCAGGCCACCTTTGTTCAATGCCTATCAAACCACTCAATTCCACAAAACCAAATCACAGCCATACTCTACACACCAAACAACCCCTCATTCCCAACCATCCTCCAATCCTACATCCGCAACCGCCGCTTCAACACCTCCACCACCCCAAAACCCCTCCTCATCATCACCGCCCTCCTCGATACCCACGTCCAGGCCGCCGTCCTCTGCTCCAAAACCACCAAAATCCAGCTCAAAATCCGTAGCGGCGGCCACGACTTCGACGGCCTCTCATACGTCTCCACCACCCCTTTCATAATCCTCGACATGTTCAACCTCCGCTCCATCTCTATCAATATTATTACAAACACTGCTTGGGTTGATGCAGGCGCCACGTTGGGCGAGCTGTACTTCAAAATAGCATCATTGAGCAAAACCCGTGGTTTTCCCGCCGGAGTTTGCCCCACCGTCGCCGCCGGAGGCCACTTCGCCTGCGGCGGCTACGGCAACATGTTGCGAAAGTACGGGTTATCGGCCGATAACGTGATCGATGCCCGAATTGTCGATGTTAACGGGCGAGTTTTGGACCGGAAAACCATGGGGGAGGACTTGTTTTGGGCGGTGAGAGGTGGCGGCGCCGCCAGCTTCGCGGTGGTGCTGTCGTACAAAATTAGGCTAGTTCCGGTGCCGGAAACCGTGACGGTTTTCCGGGTTGAGAGGACATTGGAACAGAATGCGATAGAGATTGTTAATCGTTGGCAATTGGTAGCAGAAAAGATTGATAGAAATCTATTCATAAGACTTCGTTTGTCACCTAGTACTACAAAACAAAACAATGCAAAGACAATCAAAGCATCATTCGTTTCATTGTTTCTTGGTGATTCACAAAACCTCATGGATGTGATGAACAAAGAGTTTCCTGAATTGGGTTTAAAAAAACAAGACTGCATAGAAATGAGTTGGATTCAATCAGTGCTCTACTGGGCAAATTTCAACAACAATACCTCAACACTTGTCTTGCTCAATAGAATCACCCACTTGGATAGTTTTCAAAAAAGAAAATCAGATTATATCCAAACCCCAATTCCCAAACATGGGTTAGAATTGATTTGGAAAAAATTGATTGAATTGGGGGAAACAGAACTAGTCTTCAACCACTATGGTGGGAGAATGAGCGAAATTCCGGTGGCGGCAACACCGTTCCCTCACCGGGCCGGGAACATATTCAAACTCCAGTATTCTGTGAATTGGAAAGATGAAGGAGTTGATGCATACAACAACTATATGGGTCAGATTAGAGAGCTATATAGTTTCATGACTCCATTTGTGTCAAAGTCACCTAGAGAAACATTTCTATGCTATAGAGACCTTGATATTGGAATCACACACAATGGTGAGGGTAGTTATGATGAAGGTAAGGTCTATGGGTTGAAGTATTTCAAGAGTAATTTTGATAGGTTGGTGAAGGTGAAGACCATGGTTGATCCAGAGAATTTCTTCAGAAATGAACAGAGCATCCCTACATTTCCATCCATGGGGAGGATCATCAGAGGAAACTAGAGATGGAGATAGCTTGGTGTGTCATAGTTTTAGTTTGGGGTGGAATAGGTTTGCGCATGTGTTGTTTGGTGCAACTTATCACTTTTATAATTTTTTTTTTTAATTGTGTATTTAGTGTAATTTCTGTTTATAACTTATAATATATAAATAATTTAAATAAGTTAGGAAAATTTAATTATTGTAACTTCTATTTTTATTATCAATTTCAAATTTTTAGTATAAAAAATTAAAAAACAAACTCTAATTGCAATTTTTGAAGACTAGATATCTCGGGTAATTATCTTGTCTTTCGACAATTGCAGGTGATGTATCTAAGAATAGCTGAGGGCCTAATAATCATAATCATATAGCTCTAAAGACAAGAAAATGGGGGGAAAATGACAATATTACATTAGATGTGTACACAGTCACGAGGTCTTCTCAATCTACTTGATAATTTTTGTAGGTATCCAGACGTGTTATATTCATACAATTTTTTCGCTCTACAATTTCTCAAATAAGGTGGTAATACATAATGTATATAACGAGAGATTTGAGAAAATATTAAAATGTGAGTGAAATTTTTAAATTTTGCTGTCACGTTATTTAGGAGGATTTGGAGGAAATAAATTATATGGATCAACCATTTTTCATATAGTAAAATGCTCTATAACCCATTATGAGGAAGCAACTCTGTATGAGATTAAAAGGAAAAATAAATTAGGCAGAGGTTGTCTCCAGTTGAATTTCTCAATTGAACGATATTGTTGGGTCTTTGTAGGCTTACCACGGAATCCGCATTGATAATTCAAACCATTGAATATGTAAGGCTCATCAAGTATTTCATCTCTACAAAAAATAACATTAATCGGATATCGATAAACACTTTATCAGAACACATTTGTGTCACCAATTTATTTTAAAAGTCAAATTTACGGTTGACACAAATGTGATCTGATCAAGTAACTATTGATATTCAATTAACTTGATTTTTTACAGAGATGACGTACTAAACAAGTTCTACATATTCAATAGTTTGAATTATCAATATAGGCTCCGTAGTGGACCTATGGAGGCTCAATAGTACCCTCTGATCTGATTTGAATAAGTGAGTAACCTATCTCAAATATATAAATAATCTCAGAGACTTTAAAAAAAGTATGATTACAATAGGTGGTGCTATTAGCACTCCATCTATTGTTTTAAACCCTCCATTCCTTTAGACCATCACTTATAAATTTTGAAATTCTTAAAATTTCTTTTGTCTCCCCAAATAATACTAAAATTATCTTTATAAAAACATTCTACCCATTCAATTGAATGCACACCCCCACACCAAAAAAAAAAAACCTATCTTCCAAAACCCTTAACAAAACCCATGAAGAAGAAGAAGAAGAAGAGCCAAGTGTGATTACTGTCTCTGCTGTCTCATTTTTTTATTCAGTTTAACCATTGTCACAGTTGATATGCTCTCTTTCTCTCTCTCTCTTTCTCTTTGCGCCGCCTCATCCTTTCTTTGGTGATTAATGTCCGGTAACCTATTTCTGAACAAATAATAAATGTTCGATTACCGATTCCTAAACAAATAAAGAATGTTCGCCCATGTGTTCCCAAATTTCAGTCATATGTTCAGGAGTTTAGTTCTAAAAAAATAACGAACATATTTTATTACTTTTGCCATTTTTTAAAAAAACTTACTTTTACAAGGCTAATCTCTTCTGAGCTAAAAATACTATCAAAGTTATAAACTTTCTCTTAACTTTTATTATTGTACTCGTCTTGTCTCATAGAGTTGTGGTTGTTGAAAAAGCTTTCACTTATTTTCATTGCCGGAAAAGTATAGGTAATCAAATGGTTGCTAACGTTACCGTCGGAATATTGCCGCTAAAAGGTTTTCAAGATTTTGAGAATAGGTAAGTTTTGAAGGTGAGATTTGGGAAAGATGGATGTGTGGCAATGGAGGTGGTTGCGCTTATAAATCCTAATTCATGATTTAGTGGGTGTGTGAGTTTAATTATAAGATGGGGTGTCTCAAAATTAATGATATATTTTTTAATAATTTTATGTAAAATTATTATTATAATAAAAAAACCTAAAAATTAAGGGATCTAAAATAATTCATAGAATACTAATAATAGCATTCTTAACCGGACTGTTTTAAATACTTATTATAGTGAGATTACTAATATAGAACTTGTTGACTCTCTCCCTAGAACATGTACCTAAAAGTCCTAGATGTACCAACAAAATAATGTTAGATTATATTATTAATATTTATTATTTTCCATTAAAATTTATATTAATGCATTGAAGATATTTTGTAATGTTTTTACAATTTTAAGCGCTTCATTTATCTTTGCCCCACCCCTCTACTACTACCTCATTGCCTTCTCCTCCGCCACTACCTCATCACAAAATTCAATTCCATTTTTTTTATAGAGAAAAAAGTATTGAGTGTTAAATAAATATTTTAATAAATAAAATTACTAACATTATCAAAATCAATTAGTTCACGTTACAATTGACTAACAAAAAAAGATATTTGTCATGCAATTTAAAACATCAAGAGTTAAAATATTTTTCAATACTTGAGAAGAAAATTTATTTTTAAGACAAACCTATTTATGTAATTATTAGTACCATAAATCTGTAATTTTTATTTTTATTTATTATTTATATAATTATAGGACATGTGGCATCCTCCTACTCATTTGGAGGTTATGAGAAGTTATGAAGGCATGGAGGGTTATGTGGCATTATGGGAATGAAAATGGAAGAGTGCGTAGTTTTAGGTGGTTATTGGGTAGTTATTGTTGGAAGTTTTTTCCTACAAATATTTGTCTATAAATAGCCATTCATGGCTACATTGTAAAAGATCCAGAATTCATAATCAAAGACAATTGATTTTAATATTTCTTGTCATTTTCCTTATCTTAGGAGTAGTTTAACATAGATTTATATTTTGAAGCATTTATTTTCAGCATTTCCTTCCAAAGCATTTTATGCACTTCCTTTTCGAAGCATAGGAGTAGAGATAAGTAATTAGTTACTTTGATTGTTCACTCAATCGTCTATTTCTTCGTCTCCCTCATTCTTCTTTTAATTTTTCTTTTCTCTACACTTGGCAATTTTGAAATCCTCTTGTTGAGGCAAAAGAACCATCAAAGTAATCACTTGATAATTGGCTTGAATTTAATCTGTAAGGATTTTTCAATCCTTGCTGGCACGCTCGTATTTATTGATATTTTCCTTCATAGGAAAAATAAGCCAACAATTTTTTGCACGCCCAGTGGGACGTCAAGTGTAATAAATGAAAAATGAATTGGATTTGTCCATTTCAAATAGCCTAGATGAAATTTATTGGCGTAAATAAGAAATTTTGGATCTTCAAGAAGAGATCCATTTTCTTGATGAAATAAATTTTCATCCCTTACAATATTATTTGGTGGAAGAAAAAGGACACCATTTAATTGGAGAAATTCGTCAATGGAAATGATGAGTTATCAACTCTCACTACCAACTCTTTAGCTGAGGCCTTAATGGCCGGAATTGGTAAATTTTTTCAGAATTTTTTTCGTGGTTAAAAATAGCAAAAGCAAAGAGTTGATTTAATCAATGGCTTGGGGGGTTTCAAGGAGTCCGTTTTTAAAGAGCCAAATTATGAAATTAATATAACGAAAAGCATGTTCTTGAGCCAAATTTGGCTAAAAATGATGTTCCATGCATGGCTCGGGGGGTCTCAAAACCAATTTTTAGAGAGTTAAGTCATGAAAATAACATATGTAGGGGTATTTTCATAAGCCATTAATGGCTAACATGGAAAAACAAGCCACTTTTGCCAAATAATTATGAAAATTTATTCGGCAAAAGTCATGTTTTTAAAACAAACATGGTCAAAAATAATGAATAAGCCACTGTTCATGAATTCAATTTTTTTGACATTTTTCAAAATGTCAAAAAGTATGAATTTCATGGTCACACTATACCATGACTTTTGTTGTTTCGAAATCCATTTTGGATTTGTGGATCACATCAAACGTTGACTTTGATGAATGGCTAAACAAATAATATTTCGTTATTGCAAATATATTGAGCCAAAAATGTTGTTATTAGTGTTGATCCGTAAAACCATCACCATTTGGTTTTGTGGTTACCTTCAAAGCATGTCTCAAGACACTTCGAAGTAGATTATTCATTGAAATATCATTGTATATAGCCATTAATGGCTAGTTAAAATGCCAAACTAATTTCATAATAATCCAACTCTTTTATTAGTTCGAAGAGAATGTCGTGAGTACTTTCGAAGGACGGCTTTAATCCTTTAACATATGTGACTTTCGAAAGGTGATTTTATCATCAAATAAATACCTTCAAAAATGTAACATGGGATGAGAAAACTTTCGAAATGTGTACATCTCTTCAAATATATGTAAAATGACAATTAATTAATTATCGAATAATGCCTATTTTTGGCATGATAATTAGTGGCTTTACTGATAATCATTTTTATAGCCATTTGTTACATGAAAATGTAACTAGTATTCTATAAAAGTTGGTTCGAAGAACAACGGTTTTGGTGTCTTCGGAGAATTAATAATTGGTTTAAAGCATAAAATTAATATTTTCATTAATTATGTGTGAACCAAAACATACAAAATTTGAATAACCACAATGTTGGCCAAAAGTTGTTTCGAAAGCCCTTTTGCCATAATTTTGTAAACTTCAAAGCACTCCATCTTGCATCAACAACAGCTTCGAAGAAAAAATAGTGATAGTTGTGAACCTTCGAAACTTTGCCAAGTATTCCCAAGGATGTAATTCGTCATTTGTTGGCATTTTCAACCTTCGAATGATAATTTTAGTCCTTTATACCACATTCGAAGCTAGTTATTTAGCATGTGTAACAGTTTGTTAAGGTGAATCATTGGCTTTGTCTTAAAAATATGTGGTTATCTTTCGAAACTTTTCTGATATAATATCCCTTCAATGCGTATATATATAATTCGCAACATCTAGTTATAATTTCATGCTCATTCGAAGCAGTTTATTGGTACTATTATATTATTCGAAGCACTTTGTTGATATTATTCGAAGCACTTTATTGCTTAGATTAGTCATGTGTTTGGTTTGGCCCTTCAAAAATTCAAATAAACATCATTTTTAAGGGCCGCGGGGGATAATGTTAGCACCATAAATCTGCAATTTTTATTTTTATTTTTATTTATTATTTATATAATTGCAGGACATGTGACATCCTCCTACTCATTTGGAGGTTATGAGAAGTTATGAAGGCATGGAGGGTTATGTGGCATTATGGGAATGAAGATGGAAGAGTGGGTAGTTTTAGGTGGTTATTGCTGAAGTTTTTTCCTACAAATATTTGTCTATAAATAGCCATTCATGGCTACATTGCAAAAGATCCAGAATTCATAATTAAAGACAATTGATTTCAATATTTCTTGTCATTTTCTTTATCTTAGGAGTAGTTTAACATAGATTTATATTTCGAAGCATTTATTTTCAGCATTTCCATTTCGAAGCATTTTATGCACTTCCTTTTCGAAGCATAGGAGTAGAGGTAAGTAATTATTACTTTGATTGTTCACTCAATCGTCTTTCTTCGTCTCCCTCATTCTTATTTTAATTTTTCTTTTCTCTACACTTGGCAATTTTGAAATCCTCTTTGTTGAGGCAAAAGAACTATCAAAGTAATCACTTGATAATTGGTTTGAATTTAATCTGTAAAGATTTTTCAATCCCTACTGGTACACTCGTATTTATGATATTTTCCTTCGTAGGAAAAATAAGTCAACAGTAATATATCCATTTTAAAACAAATCTAATATGACACATAAATACGACACATGCCACATAAAAAAAGTTGTTACATTAATAAAGGACTAAAGTTGTTTTCTTTCATTTTCACATGATAAGTGATTAATAAGATAATATATATGTATTAGAAAAATGTTAATAATTGTTCAAATTGCTGTCATTATATATATACGTGATTTGAAGTGCATAAAAAATATTTTGCAATTTTAATTTTATTAACATTTATAATTTTTTTAACATTTTTTCTTTGTTGGCAATTCATTAATAAAAGCATTAATATGTTTGCTTTCATTTTCACATGATATGTGACCAATAATATTTTATATTAACAGAAAAATTTAATGATTGTTCAAATTGTTGTCATTATATACAGGGCCGGCCCTGAGGACAGACAAGAGAGGCCTGGGCCTTGAACCCCAAATTTAGGCTGAAAATAGGGGCCTCTAAATATAATTTTTGTGTTTTAGATATTAAAAAAAAAAAAGGCCCAAATACTATAGGCCCAATTGAACTGATCGTGGTTCAATTGTAAACTGGATACTGCTTAACTATAAAGCAACAAGATCATATTTTTATTTTTTTTTGAGTGTTTGTAACGATTGCTTTCTATCTTAATATATGAAAGTAATTTTTTTTTTTAATTTTAATGATTTTATGTGCAACTAAATTTTTTTATGACTATAAACAAATAAAAAATTGTTGTAACTTATCGTTTTATTCATAATTTTTTTTTTGTGTGTGTGTGTGTGTGTGTTTTTTTTTTCAGATTACAATATTAATTCCTTGTGTGTAACTTATCATTTTAATTCCTTGTCATTTTAACCTTGTATGTAAGACCCCATTTCCGAAGTTTGCCTTGAACCCCTATATCTCAAGGCCGGCTTTGATTATACATACACATGATTTAATTACATAAAAATTGTAATTTTAATTTTATTAATATTTATAATTTTAAAATATTTTTCTCTATTGACAACTCATTAATAAAGTGCTAAAATTGTTTACTTTTATTTTCACCGATAAGTGAGGAATCAGATATTAACTAGCGAACGGTCGATGCGTATGTAATTCAGATAACTAATAATAAAAATAAAGAATAAAGAATTTAATATCATAATATATATATTGCTTAAATGATAAGTACGTTCTTAATGAAACTAAAAGTCTCGAGTTCAAAACTTTTTTTATGCTGTCTATAATAACTTTTTTATTTTAACATATATAAAGCTGTCACGTGACATGAGGAGAAGAAAGCTTTACATGCTGTCTATAATAATTTTTTTATTTTAACATATATAAAGTTGTCACGTGACATGAAGAGAAGAAAGCTTTACTAAACCAATTTAAACCTTCACTTAATAATAAATTATGTAAAGTGATTCGAATTGCATAAAAAATATATTTATATTTTTATTTTTATTTTAAAAAAAAATGTATTTTTCTCTATTAATAATTCTTCAAATTGTACAAGACCATGACTGTAAGGAAAATTTTCCATTTAACCAGTATACAAGTATGGAAATTGTATCAGGTTGAGTCATTATATCTCGTGTTGACATTAAAATTACCCTCAAAACTAACATGTTTATTAGTCGTGTGACTCGGGTCAAGTATCCCGACACTAACTCAAACTCACCATGTTTATACATATGTCAATCTGAACCAGACAGAATATTAGTACATTCCATGTGCCATGGTTCCCATAAAAGCTGGAAATCAATGGTGAGTTAATAATTGGAGTTGATCATAAAACTAAACATAAAATCCCCATATTCTTTTCAGTTTTTTTCTTTTTGTTTTTTAAATTTTCTATAGTTTTTATACAGGTTATTTGCTCAATGTGCTCTCAAAACTATTCATTACTAGACAACAATAAGAAATTACCTATTCATCCACAAAAATCATAATACAAACCCTTTCCAAATTTTATTTAATGCAAGCAACAAAGAAACATTATTTCAGCAATTGAGGCGATATACGTTCAATTCAAATTTGAAAAAATACACATATATGATCGGAGGAGAAAAAAAAGGAATTAAATAAATACACATACATGGTTCATGTGTTTTTTTCCATTTCCCAGAGTCCGGTAAAAATAAATAAATAAAACATAAGAACTACAACTAATATGCAAAATTACCCAGTAGAGTATTTTAATCTAGCACACATAAAATCTAGGAGGATCACATACATAAAATATAGGAGGATCACATACAAGGGCACAGCTCAGAAGGCTTCGGTTGATGCACTACTGGTGGGAATCCTCTGGCGTTTCTCCACATGTGATGACGGAAACCAGCCGGCTTTACCTCTGCATTCTCCTTCTGACCATCCCGACGGGCTCACCTGACATTGTTTTACAAAAGTTAAAATTATAATTAAAAAAAAAAAGAAAAAAAAAGAGAGAGAGTGTGAAGAAGAAAACCAATTCAATGTCATTATTCAAAGGGAATACTTGATTTTGTATGAAGGCTATATTCAAACTATGGAAAATAGGAATTTGGAAAATGTTTTTAGAAAGCTTATGTTGCCTGTATTTAGCGTGGGTAATTTCAACATATAATTGTCTGGAATTTTGTGAATAACATGAGACTCATGAACTCCAGGAATTATCAAGAGAAACCATACAACAAAAGAATCTTGAAGAAATCGATGCGTTAAATAATAGTAACGAAAGGTGCAAATATGTTATGCTAAGAATTGAGTTTTGAATCATTTTCAAGGAAATGCAAGGGTCCTACAATTTCGCGAGATTCTGCAACACCCAGAAAAAGAATTAAACAATAATTCACGAACTTCAGCCTGAAATTTTCTTTAAAACAAGAATTAGTTGAGAAATGAATTCTACAACAAAATGAATAGGGAAGTGATTTTACTTCAATTTTGTAAATAAAGAAATTCCTTTCTGACAGTCATTAGGCAGCCTAAATGCAGTTAAACAAAGAAAACAGTTTTTTTAAATATTTACATAAAAATAAATAAATAAATAAATAAATAAAGATTGACTGAAGGATATGAGAGAACCTTCCGAACAACAACATAATCTCCAACTGCCAAACTCAGTTCCTTCTCAGATGCAGCATCAAAAGCATGCATTGCCTGCACAATGTGAAAATAAGACTTTAACCAATCATGCTCTAGTAAGTATTTGCCTTACGGTATGTTGGGAAGCCATTTTAAGAAAATTTTAGCTTACGACAGCCACTGCATTAATTTAATTTCAATGGCCTCCTTCCGGAGTCAACAAGTTGATATATAACATACCAGCATGTGTGTAAATAATACCAACACAATCTACCTTTTCAAACTCAAAAGGGCCTTTACACTTTTGCTTAAGAGGAGTTATTCGCTCTTTTAAGGATTTATTTAAACTAAGGATAGCTCATTAATGTTTCATCAAAACATAATTTTTTTGTTTTAAAAAATTCCTTCAATGGCCAGAAAATTGTGAAATTTAGAAGATACCTCAGCCAAGAAGTACTTTGTTTTCTCCAAGCCATTGGCGGATGGAATTACAGGAGGAGCAGACTCTTTCCGTTGTTTCTCCGAGCCCATCTACCACCAAATTACAGGCCATCAAATGAACATAAATTGCTTTAATGTGAAAATATTATTTCCAGGAAAAGTACAGTGCGGACACTCACCTCAGCTTCAACCTCACCAAGAATGACAGCTACTCTCTCATGATATGATTTTTCTCCTTCAACCTTCAAAAGTGTAAACTTTATAGTAAATACACAACTCCATGTAATTATATGCCATAAAATAGAATAATAATTCTACAAGTGCAGAGTCTGAAGCTATGTTACATAGACTCTTCAAAATAAATCAAATACCCAAGTCGGATACCTGACACTTGAACAACGGTGTTGGATAGGGATGTGATACTTTCCATCGGACAATTCTTATATTCATGTATTTAACACTATCACTATAGGTATACATTGTTGTATAATTGCTATAAAATGAGTAAAATGCGTTTTTGACCCTTGATGTTATACATAATGCCATTTTATCTCACATAATAGATTAAAAATATAAAAATGACCCATTTTTATCCTTAAATTTGAGGTTTGATAGGTCCAACCTCTACATACGCACCCGTACCTGAGTCCATGTAACATAGATCTGAAGACATACCAATGCAACAAGCCTCTGGAATGTCAGCCTTTGTTGCTGTGATTCTACAGCAGCCAATGCAGCTGTTGCTTCCTTACCCAGCACTGCCATATTTGCTTTCAGTTCCTGCATTTTAGATTCCGCTGCGTGCAGCTTTGCCACATTTTCAGGAATGGGAGCTTCCCTTACCCGAGCTTGTCTTCTAGAAACCTCTGCTGCCTGTTTACTTTTATAGACAATTAGAGCTATAAGATTAAATAATCAACAATTTGGCAATCGATAGTCCGAGGTTGAGCAAAAATAATTTAGTGAGGCAAAGGAAGCCAAGCTGTCTGATTACCTGTATCTCTGCTTCTTGTCTCATTCGACTGTAACGTTGAGCAAGATGACGAGCATCCTCCAAAGGAACACCAGCTGACATTGCTCTCAATGGTTCTAAAATCTGGGTATAAAAAAATGTGCAAGTTCATACTTCCATTTATAGGATAGTTACAATTGTTGTTGTCAAATCATAAATTGAATCTTGAATCGTAAGATTCACTTTATTTAGCATAAAATAAAATTTTATATATGTATATACATAAAAATAAAGTGTTTAAAATGAAATAAATTTCAATATAGCTAAATTGCATATATGTACATACATATAAAGCCACATATCAATATAATTAATTGTTTCATGCATGATGCAAACAAAACTATCGCAGTGAATCGTAACAAATCACAAATAAATCGTAGTGAATCATATGGTTCATTCAATTTAAGAATCAACAACACGAATCAAATAGTTTTGGTTGAAACTCATATCAAATCATTTAAATAGAATTGTGAATCTGAAGATTCTAACAACCATGGTTACAACAATTAGATTAATTTTAGATCTGGAGAAAGTAGACCGGTTAGTTGAAATAATTTTGGATTGATGCCTCTCTTTGGGATAACTGCCCTTTCTCCCCAATTTTTATTTCTTGGACCTCTCTCCCCAAAATAGCAAAGCCAAAAATAAAACTTCAATTAAAGTAACCCAAGTTGGCAGTTAGAAAAAAGAACTGTACGTGTACTCGTTAATCCAGCACAACTAAAGTGATGCCCTTCTAATGTCAGATTCTAGGGTAGAAAAAAGGATATGGGAGTTCATAATGAAAGAGCAAATAAAGATTCCAAAATGATGGGCTTGAATATCGAAGAGGAATCACCAAATATGTCCACTCTTATATACAATTAACTGATATATTTCATTTAAGTGATAGTGCAAGAAAAAGAGCAAATCTAGAATTTCACATAGAGCACGTTTATCATGGATTGAAGTTTTAGAATAATTTTAAGTATTCATTTGTACTTATTTTAATTTAGTATGCTACTAGACAATTTTTATGTCAATAGCAGGTTTTAGTAGTTAGGGGCATTATGGGAAGTTCAATAATTGCTAGACATGAGTACAGGTCAAGTAATGCTATTTGAATTTTATTTGAAGTAGTTACCAAATATTCTTAGTTTCTAAATTTTAAGTCATATTCTTTAGGGCGAATTACACTAATAGTTCTTGCAGTTTGGGATTTATGTTACTTTGATCCATAACTTTTCAATTGTGATATATTTGATCCTGAATTTTGAATCTTATTCCAAACAAAGACAATCAAAGATATTTCCTTTGCAAACGGTCCATTTCAAAAGCAAAGTCGTCATACAACTTATTTTGTGTTTGTTAACTTGTATGTTTTTTGAAATGTAATGACCCTTTTTTTAATGAATAATGTTAAAACTTTCTTGATTATAAAGTACTATTTTGTTTGATTTTTAGAATATATTTTCAGAAAAAATTTCTAAGAAACTAAAAATTAAATTAGTGAAAAAAATAATTAAAAACGCGTCATTTTTATATAATTTTATTTGTTGGGAGGGTAGAAATATATATATATTTTTTGATATTTATTTTCGTTAAATTAGTTTTTATTTTTTCAAAAGTTAAACATGGCAACAATTTTGATTTTATTATTAAACCAATCCATTAAATCAAAAAATCCAAAACTAAAAACATTTCATATATTAAAAATATCGATTACATATTAAAAGCCTAATAACCATCCATTACATGATAGCCATCCAAAAATATCGGTTAGCAACAAATACAACTATCTATTACATGATAACCATCCAAAACTATCAACAAAAACAACCACACATTACATAACCATAATCCAAACACATACTAAAAATTAATTTGGTAAAAAAATAAAATTGTAAAAGATTTATCATTTTCATATAATTTTATCTTTGGTGAGTATAAATAATTTTTAAGCATTCAAAAATAAGTTTTTGACATTTATTTTTGTTAAATTAGTTTATATTTTATCAAATTGATGACTTTTGCCTTTGAAATGGAGCAACAGTGTCTTCAATTGCCCTTATTTCGAACGAAATTCAAAATTCAGGATCAAATGTATCACAATTAAAAAGATAGGGATCATGACACAAGTCTCAGCTACAAGGACCGTTAGTGTAATTCATCCTATTCTTTATAAAAGTAGGGAAGCCACTAGCCTATAAATATATTTGTAATCTCAATGATTCAAGGAAGAGTCGAAGCACCTCTTTCTCTCTTCTTCTTCTTCTCTTTCTTCTTCTGTGCACACATACCAAAGTTACTATTCTCGGGTTACTATTCACAGCTCTCAAAAGATGCACTTTTTAGGCCCAAAAGCCTTCCCTATCACCCCTAAATCAACCCTAATTCCTTCTACCTATTAGACTTCAATTTAACAATTAAAACCTAAATTACTCACTGTTTGGGCCTTTAAATAGAATCTATTTAAAAATCCAGCAAGTTGTCCTACATCATACTAGTGATATGTAACTAACAAGCAGTAATCCCAAAAGAAGCAATAATGATTTGACGATAACTGACCATAGAGATAGCACAAACCTGAGAAAATAGTTGCCTATTCAAGTCTTCTTGCTCCTGCTCCACATTTTTACGAGCATCGCCATATAGAGATGCAGCCTTAGCTAGAATCTTGTCATCAATGTTCTCAATTCCATATTTGAAACAATCCTCAGACAACTTAGTTCCTGATTACCATAGTAGTACTAAAGTTAAGTGCAAATATATAAATGGACCATTACATGACAAAAATGTTTTATATAACATGAATGTTGATAAGCAGCTCCTTTAGTTCATCCAATACAATATCTCCTAAAATAAAGACACTACCAATTCATGTTTTACCTGCTTCAATATGCTTATACCCTATGGCGGTAAATGTTTCTGCTGCTCTAATAATATCTTTCTGAAAATCCTGCACAAATAAGTATGCCAAAGCATTAATAACACAAATGAATCTAACAAGTTATAATACATTTACATTTTACAGTAAAAAGGAAAAACTGAGGTGCTGAAGGCCCTCTATATCACAGAAGATGAGTTGCAGCTTCCACCGTGCCTAAACTCCATTAGTAGAGCTAAATCAATTGTAGTGGAGACAATCACACTGAAGGTTATGGAACAAATGCCTCAAGAACAGAGAAGAATACGGCACAACACTTGTCCTTAGAGGATAAGGCTCATGGAGATCTCTCTCTCTCCCTCTCTTAGAACAATCAAGGCATAAATTTCTTGAAGGGACAATCCCTCAGGTCTAACCATCGATCGACATGACCTCAGAGATCTCACAAATGGATTAATAGAATTCTACTTTAGTCTCACTAAAATAATGAAAAACTATTCTTGTATTTATTTTGACAATTATACTATACTATGTAAAAATTATTACAATTTTAATTTCATAATAGGTTGGATACGTGACCTACAGTATCTGAAAAGTATTCGATATCTCCCAAAATTAACATCACGTATCAAATACGTTTAGAAAGTATTGAATATGTATCTGTGAGTATCCAAGGATTATTGTTATCCAATACGGATACAACACCCTTTTAGAAGAATCGGTGCTTCATATAAACGTTCAAAAATTCTTATTTGACTTGGTAACTTGTGATGTGGCATCTATAGCTTAGTTAGATAAGGCATATAGCATGGCTAGATAAGGTTGCAAGAGTATTCAAAAAAACATGCCTAGAACCACTAGATTATGGTTTGAACTTTTTTGAAAACTAGTAGAGCCTATTGGCCCATATCAGTGAAACAAAGTTGCAAGAAGCATTCCACTTTATAAAAAATTAATCTTTGCTTTATAGTCCCACATCCAAAAAACAATGATGCAAGAGACATCCATGCCCCTATAAAAGCTCTTTTGGTGTTGAATAATTTTTTCATAGTTTTTCTTTAAGACATTACATTCTGCATATAGGAATATTCTATTCTATCTTGATTCCTACTAAACACTTGGGAGTTGTTGCCCATTAATGGGAAGGGGGCCATGTAAGAAAAATGATCTTAAATGTTACTAATACGACATGAAGTCTACATACATAAAGAGTTCTCTTCAAAGTGTGGAAGTGGGGGCCTTAGTCTACACATAGGTTTGTCTCTGGATATTATAACTACGAGGACCTTTACACCAAGTGAAACTTTTTTGTTTCGTAGCCTTCATAACCTTCTATGTTGTTCATATTTCACAAAACTGATCAATTAAAAATCAAAAGATCTCTCATCTATACAATCCTCCAAATTAGAGTTGCATTACATATTAAGAAATATTAGTTGTATTAAGAAGCACGGATACGGACACAAACAAGAGACACAACATGGACATGCAAACACGACAATTTTCAAAAAATGCAAGACACGACACATGGGGGAGGGGGGGGGGGGTGCAAAATATATAATCTTATATATTCATTACATCACATATAAATATGAATATTTTATTTGAAGATAATTATAAAATAAAATAAAACATAATACTAATTTCTAAAGTAGTTTAAAGCAAGAGGCATTAATAGGTATAAATCTACACGTTGTCCTTTTACCATGAAGGGGTGTGTAAGTTCATCCTACCCTTATAAATAATCCTTAATTGTGGTGGTGGCAATTCTCATTACAAAATGATCAATTGTTATAATTGTTTGTGTCATTATCCAAGCAAAGAAAATTGCCTAGAACGGAGAACGACAGTGCTATATTATCTCCTACAGGACAATCTCGAGTGGTAAGAAATCCCCCCAAAAAAAAACATCATGTGCTAAGAAATCTCAGTCTCTGCAATCAGCACCAATTCCAGGTCATGAAGGGACCTACCTATAGTTAATTGGAACTCCAACTAATATGCATCATTTCTATATGTGATACTTTATTTCCATTCCTTCCAGTTACATAACCAAACCCTTGACAAAAACTCAACACTTCCATTCCTTTCCACTCCCCTACTTCATATGAAGCTCTCATGATTTTGTAAGAGCAATCCCATTCCAAAGGTAAAACAAAGGAAGAGAAGCCATCCATGCTTGAAAAGGATAAAACTACATTCATGAGGATCACTTGACTTGACCACTTGATTTAACTCTCTGCTTACAAAAGTAAAAGTTTCGCCCATGTTGAGAACCAAGCCAAAATGGTTTGAAAATTGGAGTAGGAATATAAAAAAGGGGCTACTCATAATGCCTAGGATTTTTAGGCAATCAAAACTTAGAGGGAATGCAATCACACGTCAGTAAACACCAGAAAATCTCTTAAGTCTTTTTTCATTTTTTATCAAGATTTGTTACTGCATCATTTATATAGATTATTTACACTAGAATCAAACATGTGAAAAAAAAATAAACTTTGCAGAAAATTCAAGCTAAGACTTGGACCAAAAAAAAAAACACCAACTGACTAAACAAAACAGTAGCACTAGATTCAACCAATCTCACAATAATAGTTGAACATTTATCCATACGACAAAAACTCCTCGGAAATAATCAACCCAAGTCAAGTATGTTCTATCATGAGTCAGACAACAAGACTTCATTAAAAGGTACAAATATGGAGCAATAAGGGTAATCAATCTCCTAGATGGTCCCACTTTGAAAATGAAACCAGTTTTTCACATTTATCTCTTTTTTCTTGGGACTACATTAGCTTGGCAGCCATGGCAACACATTTCTAGTGAATATTCCTTGCAACATAAACAAGGAAGCATTCATAAGTATATTACTTCAGAGGTTTTGCTCCATGCAACTTACATAAGCATTAATTACCATGCCTAGTTAAGAGTAAAAAATTGCCACATTCCCATATATAAAGTGATTTGCTCATTCAGTTAGAAACAAAGAAATTATATAAGTTTTGGCACCATAAACTAGTAACTAAATCATATTAATTTGTATTGAAGCCTAAATAGTTAGAAGCTGTTGAAACATCTTACCCTTCCTGCACGAGTAGACCTGTACAGTTTCTCTAATTGGTGATGTCTTTGCATCTCAACCTCATCGATGACCATTACCTCAGAACTTTCATAACCAGTCCCACTAAACTGCTTTATTACAGCCTGAAATACAAACATATGCATCACCAATTTACATATAATAATCATCTAAAAAAGGTGAAAAGAGAACTATTGATTAATAGCCACAGATTTGATGCATTGGTTTCAAAGACCCACTAAAAAATATAGTTGTATAATTGCCTTTTAACCAACAGGTAACTAATCACACATCTATCTCCGTCCATCTGTCCTTCTCTCCCTTGTTTTTTGATATGATCTTGCTCTCCCACATGTGTTCTTACTAGAATGGTCCCTACCCATGTAACAACTACTTAATAAGATTTGAGCTACTTCCAAACTATTTTACCAAGTTTCATGTCAATAAAACTTTCGGATTTTCTTGATGAAACTGATCTTGCATAGAAGAAAGAAACATTCTGACCTTTTAGTGGAACTCTACGACTATATCACTGTTACAATTGATGTATTATTGATTGATGTATTTTGATATATTACAATGATTCCTATATATAGAAGAGAGGATGTGGGAAGAGAATAGGTGAGTGTGTATGGTCGTGTCAGATTATTGGTGAAGACACTGGATGGTGGTGTCATAACGTTGTAGAGGACACTTTATGGGGGTGTCATAACGTTGTAGAGGACACTGTATGGTGGTGTCATACCGATGTAGAAGACAGTTTATGGGGTCATGTCGGACCGTTGTAGCAGACAATGTTGTGACAGTTGTTGTGACAGTTTACAGAGTCTTGCTGGACCCTTGTAGAAACTAACCGGAATCAATGTCGGGACAGTTTACAGAGTCTTGTCAGACCCATAAAGGAGCTAACCGGAATCAATGTCGGGACAGTTTACAGAGTCTTGTCGGACCCATAAAGGAGCTAACCGGAATCAATGTCGGGACAGTTTACAGAGTCTTGTCGGACCCATAAAGGAGCTAACCGGAATCAATGTCGGGACAGTTTACAGAGTCTTGTCGGACCCATAAAGGAGCTAACCGGAATCAATGTCGGGACAGTTTACAGAGTCTTGTCGGACCCATAAAGGAGCTAACCGGAATCAATGTCGGGACAGTTTACAGAGTCTTGTCGGACCCATAAAGGAGCTAACCGGAATCAATGTCGGGACAGTTTACAGAGTCTTGTCGGACCCATAAAGGAGCTAACCGGAATCAATGTCGGGACAGTTTACAGAGTCTTGTCGGACCCATAAAGGAGCTAACCGGAATCAATGTCGGGACAGTTTACAGAGTCTTGTCGGACCCATAAAGGAGCTAACCGGAATCAATGTCGGGACAGTTTACAGAGTCTTGTCGGACCCATAAAGGAGCTAACCGGAATCAATGTCGGGACAGTTTACAGAGTCTTGTCGGACCCATAAAGGAGCTAACCGGAATCAATGTCGGGACAGTTTACAGAGTCTTGTCGGACCCATAAAGGAGCTAACCGGAATCAATGTCGGGACAGTTTACAGAGTCTTGTCGGACCCATAAAGGAGCTAACCGGAATCAATGTCGGGACAGTTTACAGAGTCTTGTCGGACCCATAAAGGAGCTAACCGGAATCAATGTCGGGACAGTTTACAGAGTCTTGTCGGACCCATAAAGGAGCTAACCGGAATCAATGTCGGGACAGTTTACAGAGTCTTGTCGGACCCATAAAGGAGCTAACCGGAATCAATGTCGGGACAGTTTACAGAGTCTTGTCGGACCCATAAAGGAGCTAACCGGAATCAATGTCGGGACAGTTTACAGAGTCTTGTCGGACCCATAAAGGAGCTAACCGGAATCAATGTCGGGACAGTTTACAGAGTCTTGTCGGACCCATAAAGGAGCTAACCGGAATCAATGTCGGGACAGTTTACAGAGTCTTGTCGGACCCATAAAGGAGCTAACCGGAATCAATGTCGGGACAGTTTACAGAGTCTTGTCGGACCCATAAAGGAGCTAACCGGAATCAATGTCGGGACAGTTTACAGAGTCTTGTCGGACCCATAAAGGAGCTAACCGGAATCAATGTCGGGACAGTTTACAGAGTCTTGTCGGACCCATAAAGGAGCTAACCGGAATCAATGTCGGGACAGTTTACAGAGTCTTGTCGGACCCATAAAGGAGCTAACCGGAATCAATGTCGGGACTGGATCAGTGTCATAGCAGCCCATTGTGGTGCCATATGGGATGCTCATCATCATATGAGTCTTTTTAATAATTTTCAATTTTTTTTAGTTATTTTAAACTCCAAACTCTCCAAAACTCCCCTTCTACTTAGATTTATCTAAATGAACTGCATTCTACAAGTTTTATGAATAAACCTTGTATCTTTAAAATTTTAAAAAAAAAAATGAAAAGTTGTTCCATTTTGTTATCAATTCAAGTTAAATTTTAATTATTATTTTTTAATTCTTTCATTTGATACAAGCTAGAGTTGTCAGAACTAACCTTAGACCTATTACTTGATTCAGGATCCAGCTTTGCTTTATTGGGTATTTAAATTTCAAAGTAATGTTTGTGAGGCCTTTGTTTGTAATCCCACTTAACACACACCATTCCTTTATCTTAACACCTTTTAATTTTAAGCACCTCTCCCCAGTCATAGAAATAGAATGATTAGTATCCGTCCAAGTTTGTCTACTTAAGCTTAATTGTTGGCATAAATACAAAATGCAATTTGATTGAAATAAGAACCTTTGGGCTAAAGAAAAATCACTTCAAAGCTTTCAACCAAGGCCAACATCAATATGAGCAAAATATTTTGCAGTCTCAACCACCCATTATTGTAGGAAAACCTTCTTTCTCTTGATTAGGACTCAGTCCCACAACACCCATCTGTTTTGTAGACCCACAATACAGACACATGCCTTGACCACCATGCTTCCAGTATGAGGCTCAACACAATATGTGAACCTATATTTATCTCCACCTCACAAAACTACTAAATTCTTTTAGAAAAGAAATATGAAGCAACTTCACAAGCAAATTCTTGAATAAGGTTGAGGTCAAGATCAAACTGTGATGTGACCAAATTTCAAATTGTTTGAATTTAAGTTAATTACAGATGATCGTAGCATCATAAGATCAATCGGTTCTTGCTTGAGCAGCAGTTCAATAAACCCATAACTTCATACAAGATATGAAATAATTCACATAGAGGGAAAATTATGAACAGTTAATGAAGGATAAAATGAAAGCAAAGTGCAAAGATATGAATTTGTGAACAACAGTTGAAGCCATGGTCACCAAATAGCTAGATAATGCTAAATCTTATAGCTCTGATACCATGTTACAATTGATGTATTATTGATTGATGTATTTTGATATATTACAATGATTCCTATATATAGAAGAGAGGATGTGGGAAGAGAATAGGTGAGTGTGTAGTAGGTGAGGAGTAGGTGGAGAGTAGGTGAAGTAGGTGAGTGTGTAGTAGGTGGTAGTGGTAGGTGTGTAGTAGGTGAATTTTAACAATCACATAGTTGGAACATTCTCCATTAGAATCAATACAAATAATGATAATTTGGTGCCAAGATTGCTTAGAATAACTACTTTTCAAAAGGCAAATCTACTCCCTTTTGATTCATAAACTATACTAATTCAAAATTTCATTTTATTTTCGTCAACTAATGTTTCAATTCTAAAAAATAAAATAAAAACAAGATGCACACACCACACTCCACAGACGGACCCATGGCGATGGCCCCCTGCCTTCAGCATGGTTTCACTGTGCATGGTACTTAAACTAACATTCATTTCCCATATATGCACACATTAATCCCCTCACCCTCTGGTTGGTAATACCATTTCCTTCTCTTATTTATTTGTCTACCTCTTCACTAGCCCTCTCTTCCTTTTCTTTCTATTTTACTCTTCTTTTCTTTTTCTCTGCTCATTTGTTGGTTCTCATTTTCACATATCATAATAGTCCTCAAATTTGCATTTTCCCCTCAAATCCCCCATAATTGATACTTCCATTTGTTTTGCTTATACCAAAGCATCAATTTTCCATGGATTTAGTAATTCATATATGTTTGTACCAAACTTTTTTAACTCTGCACCACCCAATAATTTACATCAATTGATGACAATTTTTTTATCCACATTTTGACCCCCAAAGATAAAACCCTGATTCACCCTCTACACAAATCACAGATTTTACCAGTATAGATATTCAACGAGATTTATGGAGAGTAATATCGAGCCTCATGTTTGGTTGCCAGGAAAATCTATCTTTCCAAAGAAAACAACAAGCAGCCGTAACCCAAATAGTGAAACACCAATTTGAGTCCAAATTTCAACTTATTTTTCTTTTCCCGCATTTTATCGGGAACCAAACAGAAACAAAAAAAAAACAAAAAAACAAAAAAACGATTATTACCTGTTGTTGTTTGGCGACTTGTTCTTTGAGCTTGCTCGCTTGCCTCCTCAAAGCGTCCATTAGAGCGTTTTGATTCAACGAGTTTTCGATTACAACAACGATGGTGTGATGTTCCGGACTTCGATTCAACGAAGTTGTCAGATCTGACAACTATGAAAAACCAGAAGAAGCTATTGCTTATCAGCTCAGCTGTATCTTCAATGGCCACTCTGTTCGTCAATCGTCTCTCTCTATCTCTTCGCCATTTTTCTTTTCATAAATTATTTTAGTGAAATTGCAAGTATACCCCTATGGATAGCCAAAATTAGGTTCTCTCTCCTTGCCAATATTTTTTTTAAAAAAATAAGTTAACAGTAGCTTCTTTTTTTTCTTTTTTTTTTTTGTCTTTTTTTAAAAAAACATTCAAAAAAATATAGAGGCGATTTAACTCAAAAAAATCAAAAAAATGGGATGTGTTTGGTTTGGTTTGGTTTCGGAAGATAAATTTTTTAAAAAAAATTAAGAGAGAAAGTTTAGAATTTTTTTTAATTTGTTTGGTTGTATATTTTAGAAATAGTTTTGGAGTATGTAAGTTTGAGATGATTTAATATTTTGTTATAATTGAGTAGCTATCTATGAGAGAAAAAGTTATTGAGAAGAAGAGAGGATATAGAAAAAATGATTGATTGATGTGTAGGTGAGAGAAAATGATTTTTAAATTTTTTAAAAAAAAAATTTCTAACCAAACAAAATTTTGAAATTTTTTACAAAAATTTTGTTTTGAAAATTAAACCAAACAAGGCCCTAATTTTTAATCATGTTGCCAAAATAGGCCAAAAATGATGACATATGTTGAAATATTGTGTAAATTACACTTGAAACCAAATTTTACTTTTGTTCTGGTAATTTTGATTTTAACAATGTTTGAGTTTCCTTTTTTGGATCCTTATAACTTCTTTTAAATCTCAAACATTGATGGTGTGGGTCCCACATATATATGAATGAGTCCTACATATACATAAATGAGTCCTACATATACATCAATAGTTGAAATCTAAAGGAGTTATGGGGTAAAAAAAAAAAAAAAAAGGGTCTCAAAGCATTTTTCTTTTAATTTAAACCCTACATTCTAATTTTGTTTTGATATGATTTCTCAATCATTTATCGTTAAAATTTTAAATAAAAAAGATAAGGTGCAAAATTAAAAGAACAACATGAAATTTAAAGTCACATATATAATGCATAAATTACATTAATAATTCTTATATTTATTTTAAATTTCACTTTAATTCTTCTATTTTACACGTGTTATTTTTCGGTACTAGATAGGCATCAATACCCATATATGGTCTTACAATTTTGCAAAGACATTTTTTTAAAAAAAAATTTCGATACTAGATAGGCATCAATACTCGTATATGGTCTTACAATTTTGCAAAGACATTTTTTTTAAAAATTTTTTTGGTAAATTATCACCTAAGCCACTTCTTCTTCTGAAGTTAGAGCATTCCTAGCAGTTTACTTAAATTTTATCTTAAAATATTATTAAAAAATTTATTTCCTATTTTAAGGATTATTTTTTCATTTATTTCTCTCAACAAACTCCCGATTCTTTTTTTAAAATATCATTAAAATATTCATTCTTTATTCTTTCACTTTTTTATCTTCTTCTTGGCTTTCTATTTCCATTTTTCTTCTGAGAAGTGAAAAACATAGGCATTTATGGAACTTACCAAATAAGTGCCGGATGATAATGGATGGATCAATCATAATAATAATATTAATTGTTCTCTATTTCATTTGGATGGAATTATGAAGTCTTTGACAAATTAATATATATATATATATATATATACTCAGTTCTCTCTCTCTCTCTCTTCCTACTTGTATATATTTATACAATACGTATGTAAGCTTTGAGAATGGATAGAGCAAAGCAGTTCCTTTATCCCTACTTGCATATATTTATACAATACGTATATAAACTTTGAGAATGGATAGAGCAAAGCAGTTCCTTTATCCCTACTTGCATATATTTATACAATACGTATATAAGCTTTGAGAATGGATAGAGCAAAACAGTGACTAAGGGGGCGGTCAGCCAATCAATCGGCCGGACGTTTAGGAGGTCGACTAGTTAGACATCCGGGTGGATAACTGGCGAAGCAAGTTTTGGCCAGATCAGTCATATGGGGCATCTGGGTGGACGATCACTGTCAGATATGAGGGAGCTACAGTGACTCTCTACAAATAGGGAGTCACGGTAGCAAATATTAATTTAGGGTGGTGTATAAGAGAGCTAATGTGGTGGTATAAGGGAGTTTGGCCAAGTTTGGAAAGACTAAATAAGTGCACTTTTTGACTTTTCTTGTATTATGTGTAGAAAAAGTAGAGAGGAGATGTTGATTTATGTGACCCAAAAAAGATAAAATGATGAAATAAGTGCACTTTTTTAATTTAGCCAAACTTAACTTAAGTAAAGATATGATTTAAGGGTTCTGCTAGGATGTTCTTATGAGATTATTTTATTGAATTTCTTAGAGAGAGTTGTCTTGTGCCATTAGGTATTCTATACCTATCCACCTATGTCAATTCCAGGTATAAGCATCTTTTAGGGGTTGCTTGACACTGATTAATATAGCTATTTTTTTTAGTTTGAAACTTTTTAAGCCTGATTTTTTTTAGTCTCGTTTGGTTTTTATTTTTGATTTTTTAAAATTTTTATTAGAGAGAAAATGTAATGATTGTGGATAAAAAGTAATACTTTATCTTATTAACTCATAGAGATTATTTTGTCTTTTTGCACCTTTTTAATCTCAAAATCTTAGCCAAAAGAGCACTCAGTTGAAGGCTGTTTCAAATGTTTTTTCTAAGAGCATGCAATGTTATTTTAGCGTCATAGCGCCTAATAGTCAAATATTAGATCCAGGCATTTTCTTTATCTTTTTAACCAAAACAATTCAAGGTCACATAAGACCATTACAAAAAAAAAAAAACAAAGACAAAACTACCACCATTGGGTTCGTTTGCTCAGTGAGTTAGTTTTTTAATTTTTTTAGTTTGGCACTAAAAACCTTCATTTAAAAAGGATTTTTTTAACTTTTTGTCAGAAAAAGAATGTAATAATTATGGGTTAGATGTGATATTTTATCTTATTAAGCTAAAAAGTTTATTTTATCTTTTTGTAACTAAAATATAGCTCCAAACTTACCGAACCCATTCTTCCCAAACGAACCCAATATTCAATCCATATGCAAGAATTACACATTGACTATGGTGGAACTCATAGAATTGTAGTGTGATGTATTTATGATATGTTTGATTTTCGAATTATTTTCATGGAATTATAAAGTTAATTGACAGTTATTAATTAAAATAGTTAGATAGGGTAAAAACTATTCCATGAAATGGGATATGAATAAAATTATGAATAGAATTATAGGAACAAGTTATACTATGAAATAAATAAATCAAATCAAATAGGGAGAATTTCAGTGCAATGAATGTTTTGAAAAATTATTACAAGTGATAAACTGTATAAACATTGATAATTAAAATTATAATTTTTTTTTTATGAATCTGTAATAAATTTATGAAATTACCAATGGTAATTTCCCCAATAAAAATACTAGATACAGACCTGCCATGTTTGTTTAGGACGTGATAAAATGATATATATTTTTATTATTGCATAAATTAATCCGTCACTCTTTTTTTTTTCATTATCTTTCATACAAAATTATTAAATTTCAATACCAGGCTAAAAAAGAAGCAAATTAAAAAAATGTGAACTGAGATGTTATTCATATTCAAGGTTGTTTTGATAACTAGTTATTTTGATTGAGTTTTGTTGGCGAAAATATTAGAAGAATTATATTTTATTAATAAATAATGTAAAAAAAATGAGATATAAATAGATCAGATTGAGACACAGATATCTCGTTTTCTTTAAGGAGATCAAGCTCACTGCGGTAGGGAGAACCCAAATACCGATGCAACAGTCACTAAACTCTGACTTGTCCCCCCAAAGATACAACAGCCTGACCACTTGTCATATGGTTCAGGCCAACTCTGCACAAGATGGTGAACTCAAAGCTCCACTAAGAAAAACACCCTTCTTTAGCTAGTAATCTCTCAGGTGTAAAAAGAGTTGGTCTAGAACAGAGTAGATGAGAGTGTAGACACCTCATTTTTTACCGTCCTCAAGACTTGGACGTCATCGTTTGAACACTCGATGATCATCCTTGTTCGTGTTCGTCTTGAGTTCTCGGAGGTTTCGGCTACGCGCCTTGCCTCAAGACCTCTCGACTTGTTTGTTTTGTGTTTGGTTTTACATCAAACACTTACTGTTTTGCTTCTGAGGGTGGGAAATAGCTTGTAGGCCATCCCACACCTCACCGGCCATGGCTTGAGGCCACTGGCCTTGTTTCCTTGCCACCGGCCACTGGTGATGGCTGGTCGGCACTGCTGATGGTCGGTCGGCACATTTTGTGGTCGGTTGGCCAACTTTGTTGGCCGATCAGCCACTTTTTTGGCCGAGACCTTTTCTTGAGGGGGGTTTGAACCTTTTGAACCCCCTGTTTTAGCTTCTTGAGGAAGCTTGAACCTTTTGACCCTTTTTAGCTTCTCCAAGAAGCTTGACCCCTTTTTTTAAGCTTCTCCAAGAAGCTTGATCCTTTTTTAGCTTCTTGAGGAAGCTTGAACCTTTTGACCCTTTTTAGCTTCTCCAAGAAGCTTGACCCCTTTTTTTAAGCTTCTCCAAGAAGCTTGATCCTTTTTTAGCTTCTTGAGGAAGCTTGAACCTTTTGACCCTTTTTAGCTTCTCCAAGAAGCTTGACCCCTTTTTTTAAGCTTCTCCAAGAAGCTTGATCCTTTTTTAGCTTCTTGAGGAAGCTTGAACCTTTTGACCCTTTTTAGCTTCTCCAAGAAGCTTGACCCCTTTTTTTAAGCTTCTCCAAGAAGCTTGATCCTTTTTTAGCTTCTTGAGGAAGCTTGAACCTTTTGACCCTTTTTAGCTTCTCCAAGAAGCTTGACCCCTTTTTTTAAGCTTCTCCAAGAAGCTTGATCCTTTTTTAGCTTCTTGAGGAAGCTTGAACCTTTTGACCCTTTTTAGCTTCTCCAAGAAGCTTGACCCCTTTTTTTAAGCTTCTCCAAGAAGCTTGATCCTTTTTTAGCTTCTTGAGGAAGCTTGAACCTTTTGACCCTTTTTAGCTTCTCCAAGAAGCTTGACCCCTTTTTTTAAGCTTCTCCAAGAAGCTTGATCCTTTTTTAGCTTCT